TTCGCGGCCACCACGGTCCTCCCGCGATTTCGCGGCCACCGCGGTCCTCCCTCAGTAGAGCTACACTGTGAGATCCCCGATCGATCCTAGGGGGGGTACAGGCGCGTTTGCCTGGGGGGTTATGGGGGCACTGACCCGCTACTGAAATAAGCCCTTTTATCCCAATGGTCTAGTGGTTGGGATTCTGACATGGTATCAGAGCGAAGGTCTCGGGTTCGAATCCCGGTGTATGCACATGTTGGTCGTTGCCACTGTGCTCAGTCCTGGGCCTCCCAGTGTGGGGGGGTGTCAGTAGAGCTACACTGTGAGATCCCCGATCGATCCTAGGGGGGGTTACAGGCGCGTTTGCCTGGGGGGTTATGGGCGCACTGACCCGCTACTGAAATAAGCCCTTTTATCCCAATGGTCTAGTGGTTGGGATTCTGACACTCCCGCGGTTTCGCGGCCACCGCGGTCCTCCTGCGGTTTCGCTGCCACCGCGGTCCTCCCGCGATTTCGCGGCCCCCGCAATAGGCTCCGCCCAAGCGAGGACGGGGCCAAACCCTACTCCCGTTGAGAGGCGGCGCGCGGGCCAGCAGAGGCGACGCGCGGGCCGCACGGGCTGCTAGCAGGGCGCGCGCGGGACTAGAGCAGGGCAGGGCACGGGGTAGCACGATAACCGCACGTGGTAGGTGGTGGGCCCGAAAAAAAAAAAAAAAAAAAAAAACGCTCCTAAGGCTCTGAGGACCTAATGCTCTTAATACCATGTTCGAATTGGTACTTAGGAATGAGTGAAACTATCGAGAGAGTTTGGTACAAGTGAAGACCCTAAGGGGTTCTGCCCCACATTGGCTACCCCACTACAGCCTACATAATCTAGCATAACATATACAGTTTGACAAGACGGACTGGGCTTGATGCCCCCCAATAAAATTCCAGACCCAACTTGTCCTCATTGCTAAGTACATCAACTATAATTCATGAGATGTATGGGGGTCTTCACTTAGACTGCAATCTTTGTTAAATTGCTACTTGAGTATTAAGAATCAAACATATTGTATGCTTGTTCTCAAACAGTGAGAATAGTCCATTATCTATATTCAAAATAGTTTTAGTAGGTGAATAGGGTACACCTAACCACCGCTATTTTCTTTCGGTTTATTTTTACCCCACTTGCACAAGTGGGGTATGCACCCTTTCTAAATATTTGACCGAGGGTTGTGTGGGGCATCATTAAATTTTAGCGAGAGTCTGTTCCAGATCCTCGAAGAGGGTACTGTAGAAGTGGCGCTATGGATTAAGATTCGCATAATGAGTTTAAACTTCGAGCATTAGGCGTCATTCATAGCCCTAGTCATTCAAGTGTCGAACTGAAATAGTCGAAAACGTGCAGGGTAACTTTGAAACGCGAGATTAGTGGGTTGGGTTTCCCCTTGAAAATAGCGGTGGTTAGGTGTATGCGTAGAAACAGAATCCCAGGCATTCCTGACTTGATCCGCAACCTGGCATAGTGCTCCACTGGGCAATTGGTTTCGTGTCATGTCATGACATGACTGATGTGACAAGGGTCACCGCGCAGTCCACGTTTGCTGTTCTCTCCCCCAACCACCAAATCCATGCCGAGCAACCACACACATAGTTCTGAATGATATATGTGACCTGAGGCCAAATGTCTCGATTCGACGAATGGGGTGTGGCTCGAAGGTTTGTGCTGGTTCGGCTGCCAAACTTAGCCAATCAGCTACCGTGAGACCACCGAGCCTGCCATGTTGCTTGGGGAATTGGCAGGCAATCGCCGTCTCTGGGGTGGGGTGGTGTGGGAGTGGGAGGAATTGAAACAAACGGAACCCTACTTTCGCACTTCAAACAGAATGCCCGGCGAAAATCGCTTCGATGTCGCCACGCCACAACTGACACGGTGCGGATCCCCTCACCTCCGCTTCAAATCAACGTGTCCGAGAGGGTAGGTTTCGGGCGCACCCCGCAGAACCGCGTGAGGGGATTCGGTTGCCCGCGCGAAAAGTTTGGTTTGATTTGGGGCCGGGGAAGCGGAACCTCTGACGGACCGAGCTCGACGCTTTGGCCTTCATCCCTGGCCGTGGGGTGGTGGGTGGGGTGGGGAGGCGAGGCCCCGTGGCTTCCCTGCAGCTTCCCCGTCAAACGAACGTCGAGAAACGCCCAGCCAGCCAGGCACGGCCACAATCCATAAATCCCTCCCCTCGCTCCTCCGGTTCATTACCAGTCTTCGTTCAAGCAGATCCTACCAACCACTTCTCTAGTGATCCTTGCATTTCAGTTCAGTCTTCCAACTTATTTCCTTATAATTCAACCAATCTGTCAAGTGTTGCCGCCTTCCTTCGCAGTCCCTCTGTTAGTCTAACAACCATGGGCATGACTAAAAGCCCGCGTCACGATTCAGAGTCGATGGTCTCAGCTGGCCTTACAGACCTCCAAAAAAAGGAGCTCACGGATGCGTTTAGGAGAATCGACAAGGACGGCGATGGCGTCATCACGGCGGAGGAGCTGGCCACCGCGCTGAACCTCATCGGCGTCTCGGCGTCGGAGGATGTAGTGTCGTCAATGATGCGTGAAGGGGATTTCGACGGTAACGGTAGCGTTAACTTGGAGGAGTTTCTAGCGCTGAACGCCATGGCGGAGCGCCTAGGAGGCGACGTGTCGCGGTCGGTGCTGAAGGACGTGTTTCAGGTGTTCGACGTGGACCACAACGGCCAGATCTCCGCCGACGAGCTGTTCCGCGTGATGGCCAACGTCGAGGGCGGCGGCGTGACGCTGGACGAGTGCAAGCGGATGATCAGCAGCGTCGACATGGACGGCGATGGCTTCGTTGACTTCCCCGAGTTCGAGAGGATGATGCAGGCGCAGAGCGTCGTCAGGCACGTCGCCTGCTGAGATCTGCTTTTCATCCAATAAGGAGCCTGAGCCCACTCGTGTCCAGGCGCACGGCGCTTATCATAAGCTGCTGCCATCGTAACCCTTTGGTGCAGTATCAGCTTTCAAGGGTTCTCGACCAGGAGGCATGTGGCACTTCGCGTCGTTCATTTTCGTTCTGTTAATTTGTATGTACGACGTCTGCGGGAAGAGAGACCTGGTGTATCGAATTATGTCAGTTCCGCCAATACTGCTGCATTAGTATCAGCACCTTCGGTAGGGTCATTTACTCGCGGGGTATTAGGAAACTTTTGAGCTGGTATGTGTGATGCGTGATGTATGTTGTGGCAATGTATGTTGATATTAAGTTGGCTCTTCACAAGGATCACTGTCACACATGATACTCTCTCCATTGTCCCTGTATAATGTAGAAGCTTATCGTAATCACCTTTGTAAAGCATCCAGCCAGAAAACGGATTAGGGTAAGGACGTCATGGATAGGAGGTGATGACAGTGCGACGGCGAAAACTGCTGTGATGACTAGAATTGGAAGCATGCTACCTCTGACAGTTGGTGGCCTAATTTGTCATGATGATGGTTTCAGTGTTGCTAGCTCTGCACAGTACACTAATTCAAGGAGCAGCATATAGGAACTTCCAGTCCAGTATTTTCCAGAGCTAGATATTAATATGGCTGCTTATTCATAATTTGTGCTATTGTGTAACATTGCCAGCAGTAAAATTGGTATTCTCATTGCACAACTGTGGGCAACAAAACAGCAGCATGCACCATCTGACCACACTTGTTCACTTTCTCCACCTTTACTCTGCCCCGCAGCCCATGCTGCGTGCTCCAGTGAGTAGCTTACATCCCGATTTGGGCATGAGCCTTGTTAAGGATGACTCCCCTCGTACTTGACTTGGAACCACTTCATCGCATCCTCCTTGGTCACGCGGTGCTGAATGCCCACGCGGCACTTGGCCCGCCGTCGGCGCGACACGCGGTAGCCGGGGCGCTCGAGCACAACAAAGAAGTCCATTCCGTAAATGCCAGTGGACGGGTCATACCTGCATCAATGCACATGCATCACGGACATGGGGTTGGTGTCCAGAATATGCTACTATGTACTTGGTTCCATGCCAACGTGCTCCACAATACTCACTCGATTCGCAAGACTTCAAACTCCCAGCACAATGTGCTTCCCACTACTCACTTGATTCCCAGGTCAATGTGCTCCTGAATTCCAAACCCAAAGCAGCCAGTGGCGCTGAAGTTGCGGCGAAGCAACTCAAACTCCTTCACCTGCTCTCAATAACCATGCCAGCCACACAAGAGGTTTAGGAGAGAACAGGAGCACCCAAAGCGTTAACATGCATGTATCACACGAACGAACGCAACAGAGTGATACAGCAGGCACACAGACGTCCTGGAAAAGACTCGTGCTGTGCTGCCACGAGCAACCCTAAATGATAGTATGACTGTGCCATGACCATCCGCACTACTGACCAAGGCTGCAACAACGTACGGAGATCCCATAGAGCGGAAATGAAGCTCATTCTGGAATCTTAAAGCATATCTTGCCGAATCCCACCTCGAGATCTTGCAGCCCGACTCACCTTGAGTCCGCTCTCAATGGAGCTGCAGCGCCTTCTCGCCGCGAACTGTCACGTAGCACGCGATCTTCTCGTTACGCCGAATGCCGAACGACCGCACCGTGTAGCGCGCTGCAGCAGGGCCAGGGGCGAGGGGTGCGGGGCGAGGGGCGAGGGGCGCGGGGCGCGGGGCGAACGGCGAGAAGAGGGGAGAGGAGAGAGTGGAAGACGACAAGACGAGGTTGAGAGTGAGGTCGAGGACGCGAACAAACAACGGCAGGTGAAAGCCAAGGGGTCATGGGTCATGCAAACACGGGAAACAGCGATTAGCGAAAGTAACACGGGCTCTGGGAAGGGAGCGGATGGGGGAGGGGGGGAGAGTAAAACGGGCGAGCGGAACTAAGGGATGAGGGAGTGGACGAAAGAGCACGTGTGTGGGGGTGGGGCTAAGGCAGGGAGACTGACCCTTGGAGAAGACGGGCACTTGACCGCTCAGCTGCTCCAGCACCTGCCCTAGCACGCGGGTCGAGAAGCGTGGGAAAGAGAGGTCGAGCGGAGTAATGGAGGGCAGGCGAGGGCGGGGAGGGCAGACGGGGGTGGAAGGGGCATAGGGGCAAGGGGGGAAGGGAAGGGGTGCACGTATGTGAGCGACAGGAAAGGTGAGTTGATAGCGATTTGTGTGACTTGGTAGCGCAACAGCGGCGAGTACGGGCTACGACGTGGAGGATGGACGGGCGCGAGCGCGGCCACGCGGGACATGCGGCAGAACGCACACGGAGAGCCGACGAGCGTTAGGGGTCAAGGCGCGCTCCGGCCGTTCTTGTAGCTGAATTCGGCACCAGCGCCCTGTACGACTAACGGAACCCTAAATCGACCAAAACCCGAAATCGCTCGAAGCGGGCAGAACACTGCTCAATAGTTTAACGCCCCGCTCGCGATATTCCTGTATTCAACAGGTATCCGTCGCCACTTCCCTTTGTATGCCCCAACTCCGTCTAGTTTGCATTCCCTCGGGTACATACACTTTCCCTCAGGTTTCGACTGCTTCCCCTCAGTGCCATAGCCTTTCTACCGCATCTGTCGCTCCTCCCGCCTGCACCGCCTCGCCGAGCAAACGAATCCCTCCTGGACCTGCTTCTTTTCACCTGCTCCATCGCCCTGTCAATCGACCTGCTCCCCTCGTTCAAACGGACTCGCATCCGGGCAGCAACAATCGAGGCCCAAGTGCATCTACAACCACCTCAACGGGTTCCCCCACTCATCGGTACCAACGGGCTAGAGCTTATGCTGCAAACAGTCCAGTCCTGCGCGGTACGGCGAGTTGACGTCTCGCCGCAGCCACGATATGCATTACTGTCTGCTTCGCGGTTCGAAAGGTGGCAGAACACGCTACGCGAGGCGAACTACCGAGGCCAGCTTAAGGCGCCACTGCAGTCCGTGAGTTGCGCACACCGCAGCGAGGCGCGCGAGGCTGATTGCAAGAGGCGATTCGCGAAGACGGATTGACACAACAGTAGGCAGGCTGCGAGGAGTAAAATGCTGGTTGACCCCGCCGGGTAGCAGCGCACGAGCGGGCGTGACGCACCTAACCCAACCTTGGCCGAGCGCGAGAGGAAAACAATCCAACTTTGGCAGCGCAAGTGGCATCTGATCTCAGCGCGAAAGAAAGCTAATCCCAACCTTGGGCAGCGCGCGTGAGGCGATCGCCGCTTCTCGTTCCGACGCAAATGTTGAGCACGAGCTTCTGCACCTTGATCTCCCGCATCGGGTTGCTTGCCTTCTTCTCCGACGCCTGCCACCCTCACCCGCACGCACGCCCATCCGCACCGCAGCACACCACAGGCACACCCGCATGCACCGCAGCACACCACACGCACACCCGCATGCACCCCGCACAAACACATACCATGCAGAGCCGTCCAGATCCCACACACCATGTCCACATGGACGAAAACCATCCGCTCCGCGCACAGCACGCACAGCACACCCGCACAACGCGCACAAGCAGCAAGCGCAGCCAACAAGACCACACACGAGCACCCCAAAATGCGACACGACGGAGAATGGAGAAGAACGGCGGTTGGTGGTCTGGCAAATGGCGCACAGCGAAACTGGAACGATGAAACTACTTCCGAGGTGAATCCCTGAAATCCACCAGATCACACAACTAGGCTTGCCTATCGCTTTCCCCAGGAATTCTCGGATCGAGCTGTACCCTAAAACGCCTAGAATGTCCCCGAAAGTATATATAGCCTGGTCATGGCGCCACGTAGCCCAAGAAACCTAATCGCGCGCTTACCATGGTGAAGGTATGGGGTGTCTCCTACAACAAGGGGTGTTCCGTGAGGAGGGAAAGAGCGAGGAAAGGAGGTGAGGGAAGAAGAAGGGGAAGGGGACGGGATGGAGAGGTCGGGTGAGGTGAGGGATGGTGAGGTGACGCGAAGGGCGAGGCAGGGGGGGGGCGAAGCCAAGCCCGACGGAGAAAGGGTTGCTGCGAAAGGAACACGGGTGGTAGACCACCCGAAGCACACAATTAAGTTGAACCTCGATTACGTCGGACCCGACAAAGATAGAAAATGAATATCAGGAGACTACTTCTTCAGACAACAAGGCTACCAATCAACACAGCTGTCACAAAGGCCACGAATCACTTCTTACATACCATAAGCATGCAGAACATTTGTAGAACGTAGAGTGAAAGCTACAGCTTAAAATATATACGCCTTTCTGCATTTTGACAAGCTATTATTCTAGTCATTTGAGAATAACACCTTAATGCACTAGCTGTTTTCATGAAACGCTCTGCACCCACTTATTCCAGCTTTCCTTGCTCCAATTCATCTTCCTCCATTCCGTCCTCTGCCTCGCCTGCTGCTGTTGCAACCGCCTTGGTGAGCGCCACCGTTTCATCGTCCTCATCGGGAGCATCCTCCGAATAAGCAATACCTGGGAAGAAACAGAAAATAAGTGCACATATGGAACATCAATGAACAAGGCTACAAGAACCAGGAGGACAGACTGCCTGACCAACATGCAATTATTGTGCCTTGACACAGGGTGCTGTTCGCCAGCACCAATGAAGCAAAAAACCATGGGATATGATGGGATCAGGAAGGTGGGTCTCGCCTTCCTGATCCCGTCAGTTAGGGTTCGTTTACCTCCGTCAGCCTGGTCAGCCCGTAAAAAAAGGTGCCGAGCCTCCCCAACCGTCCGAACGTACAATCAAAGTGGGTGTCTGGCGAACGCCCCCCATTTGTCCACCAAAACGAACTGCTCGATGGCATATGGGAAGCGGGGAAGCAACTTCGTCCTCAGGCAAAGTTCTATCCCCAAGCCATGCCATCGCCATGCCGCGTTTTTGGAAGCACAGCGATGGCACAGCCGTCGCATAGCCGTTCAGAGGGGAACCTCTGAACAAGCCATTTGTTTGACAAAGGGGGGTTCGAATACCCTCCATTTTTCCCCTCCCGAACACACCTTGTGAGTGGATTGAGTACGAGGGGTCTCGGGGGTTGTATTTGAGATTGGTTTGTTTAATTATTTTTGCGCTTGTTACCCCTGGTTCGTTTTTGGCCCTCGGTCTGGCACTGGTCAGTGGCGCGTAAAGTTCGCGCCACTAGATGAGGAAGGTGGCGCTGGTGGGTTCCATATGCGGTTGTGAAATTTCCTGTTTTGGGGATTGAAAGTTTCGCGGACCGCATTACGCCCAGACCTCTTGGGCGGGTTTCCGACCCCGGTTTCCGGATGCGGTCACCATGCCGATGCACCAAAATGCCGTCGTTTTCCTGAGTTGCTGGCGAACACCGCCAAGGACATCACCAACCGGCAATAGCATCAAAGAGGCATAGGCCAACCTGGTGGAGGCCTGGGAGGGGCGCCCAAGAGGATGCAGATGATGCAGAGCAGGGCGAAGGTGAGCACGTGCCAGAAGCACCCCGTGATCCAATCCGCCTGCCACCGCTCGTTGAACGGATCCGTCACCTTGAAGAAGATCTGCCCGGTGGCGAGGGGGGCACAAGAGGGGGAAGCTTAGGGGCTAGAGCATAGAGTGGGCAGGCAGGGACCCCACCGTGGTCTTGCATGGATGGGCTGCGGGTACATTGAAACGAGCAGGGCTAGGAATTGAAGGAAGAGGTGTGCACAGTGAGGAGCATGTTGCACATGAGGAGCATGTTGCACATGAGGAGCATGTTGCACAGTGAGGAGCATGTTGCACATGAGGAGCATGTTGCACAGTGAGGAGCATGTTGCACATGAGGAGCATGTTGCACATGAGGAGCATGTTGCACAGTGAGGAGCATGTTGCACATGAGGAGCATGTTGCACATGAGGAGCATGTTGCACATGAGGAGCATGTTGCACATGAGGAGCATGTTGCACATGCATACATGCGGCACACCTCATAGGCGATCCAGGCGACAGAGATGAGGACGGAGAGGGGCGAGCATGTTGGTGAAGCGCCGGTACAGCTCCAGCTTGTGTGTTGTGCGCTTTGCCTGCCGTGCACCCATGCATGCCGGGGCGCACAGGGGGAGGTTGGAACGGGGGGTGCACAGGGGGAGGCACGGGGGAACGCATACAAGGGCGGATCAGCACTGACAGTTCCAGCCCCATCCAAACTGGCCAAGAAACAGGGCGCCTGCCCATGCTGCAACCTGCACGCTCACTTTGAAGCCGCTCCCTCCCCGCCCCATGCCATGACAGCCACACACCCAGCATGTACCACCCACACAGCGCCTCCAACCGCACACAGCCCATAACCCCAGGCACACATGCACACATGCATTGCAGGCACGGGCACGGGCACGGGCACGGGCACGGGCACAGGCACGGTGCACGCACCTGAAGCTGTGCGAGCGTCTTGGAGAGGGCGGTGAAGACCAGAGGATGAAGGCGGCGTCCAGCACGGCCACTCCCCTCTCCAGCACAACACACACTGCCATGCACGCACGAGCCATGCACGCACTCACTACCAGCACCGTGCACGCACCTGCAGCTGTGGCAAGCGTCTTGGAGAGGGCGGTGAAGATCCAGAGGATGAAGGCGGCGTCCAGCACGGCGACGGGCAGCACGAGGATGACGCGCTCGCCGCTGCTGAGGTCGTCGATGGCGCCCACGTTCTGCATCACGTCCAGCCCCTCCGCCGCCACCAGGTACGCCGCCTCCCAGTGCCACCACCTGTGGACGTGAAGCCCGGCGAAAGGAGGGGGGAGCATGTGCATGCGGACGGGAGAGAAGGGTTTGAGGGAGAGAGGAAGCAGAAGGCAGGAGAGTGGGAGAGCAGTAGAGGGCGAGTGAAAGGGCAATGTGAACCCTCTGATGACACCTACAATGGACACCCCTCCCCCCACTGGCTTCACACTTTGCCGGTGATTCACAGACACTCTTCCCTTCGCCCTCCCCCCCACCAGCGCACCTTGCCTGAGATCCCCCCCACCCCAAGGTGCGGCGCACGACACCAAAGCCCATGGCGACCACGAGGTTCAGCACAGCAACCCCGTCCCACCCACCCCCTCTCGCCAGCGCACCTTGCCCGAGAGCCCCCCGAGGGTGGGGCCGCACGACACCGAAGCCCATGGCGACGACGAGGATGAGCACGCGCGACACGGCCTTGCGCACGGCGCCCACGCTGACGGCCCACACCGTGATGCCAATGGGGCGGTAGCCCGAGGCGTTGAAGTTGACGAAGTCGAGAGTACCACGCCGCCATCTCCACCATGGCCAGGAACAGCACCGCTGTGATGCAGTGCTGCAGCTGCAGCACGTCCCTCCAGAACCGCGCGTACTGCACCAGCCACAGCAGGCCCAGCAGCAGGTACGCCTGGGGGGAGGGGGTGAGGGGGAAGGGGAGAGGGGAGGGTTGTGGTGTGGACGAGGGAAGGGCAGAAGGTTGAGAAGGAGAGTCAAGGAGGATTCGAGAGGAGAGAGGAGGGAGAGGGGGGTCGAGTAGGAGCAGCGGGGACAGGACCCACTGCAAGCAGTGGGGTGATTTCAGCAGCTCGGCTCGTGATGGAAGGGAGGACTAGCAATGGATAAGCGGCGCTCACGATGGACATGGCGCCGAAGAAGTTGAGGTAGGGCGTCATCATGCCGGGCAGGTAGCCGGAGGGGTTCTTCCACACGGTGCCGCCCGTGACGGACACCTCGGCCAGGTTCTTATCGCAGATGACGAACCACAGGTAGTACATGCCCGTCCGCGTTATGTGCATCTCCGATGCTGCTGCCTCCACGGCGCTGTCGTTGCCCATGAAGTTGATCTCCACCACGCGCGGCCACTGCGTGGGGGGGGACAAGGAGGCGAGGAGGCAAGGAGAGAAGGAGACGCCACTTGCATGCGCACCCCTTACTGGGCTCAGCAGCACAGCACCCTCCACGGCGCTGTCGTTGCCCATCAAGTGCATCTCCACCACGCGCGGCCACTGGGAGGGGGGGGGAGAGGAGGGGCAAGCGGGAACGAGGGCGGGTTGGGCGCGCCTCCACGGCGCTGTCATTGCCATTGCCATTGCCATTGCCATTGCCCATAACGTTCACGTCCACCACGCGCGACCACTGCGGCGATGGCGGCGAGGCGGCCCAGACCAGACCCGAGACCGCACCGGCAAAAGCGCGCGATTGGAGTGAGGCGTGTGGGGGAAAGGGAGAACGGAAGGGCGAGCGGGAATGAGAGCGGGGTGGGTGCGCCGTGACGGGCTAACGGCGGAGCAGCGAAGCTAGGTGCAGGGACACTCGCAAGCGGTGCACTGTAGCAACGGTCAAGGGGACTCCATTGCAGTTCACCCCTTCATGCCCTCCGCGCTTCCTCCACCCAACCCTCACCAAACACCCCTCTTGCAGCCCTCCGCACCCCGCACGGCGCGCGGCTGACCTTGCTGTCGTCGTCGCGCGGGCGCACGATGAGGTGGCCGGGGTTGCACCCCGTCTTGCGCACGAGCTCCGGCGTGCAGCAGAACGACCGCGTGCCCGTCGGCGACGTGTGGCCGATGCGCGCGCGGTCGCCCACCTCGAACAGCAGCGCCTCGATCAGCCCCGTCTGCCCCGCCACCGGCGCGTCGCGCGCCTCCCAGATGGGGCGGTGGAAGGTGAGGTGCTGGAACCTGCGCGGGGGAGGGCGCGCAGGGCGAGCAGCGTGGGCAAGGAGAGCAGAAAGAGCAGGGAGAGCAGAGTGCTGATGGGAGATGAGACTGCAGAGGGGAAAAAAAAGGTAAGGTGCTGGAACCCGATGTGGGGAGAGGATCGCACGGGGAGCGCAGCGGAGGAGGAAATGCGCATTGGCATGAGATTCAAGGGGTAGCGACAGTCCCTTTCGCCGACTACTGAAGGGTGAGGTGCTGGAATCCGCGCGGGGGAGGGAGAGCAGGGAGAGCAGAAAGAGCTGTCAACTGCTTCGAAATCTGCGGGTAAGCCGGCATTGACCGGCGAATTAAAGTGCTGCTTAGTGCACAGCACGCGACGGTGCGACAGACACCTTCCAGCGTGCAGTCCCCGGTAGTCGCGAGTGGCGACGCGCGCGCGGGGTGCACGTGGAAGAAAATGGCTGCGTTCCCACGACAGAGTGCGTCGGCTGGCCTTAACGCACCTCACTCTACGCGCCACCAGTGCTTAAAAAACCTCCCCGCCAATCCCAGATGAATCACTTGCTTAAAAGCCTCAGATTAATCAGCAGATTTAGTATTGTTGTCCAACACTAACCTAGCTTGTCATTCGTCGCCATTTTGAGCGAATCAATTAACAAATTAGTTATTGCTGTCAAACACTGAGTCCAGCTTGGTCGTTCGTCGCCATCGCGAATTTGAGGGAATCAGCAGAGACAGGAAGGTCGTGAGAGCACTGGGAGCACTGGGAGCACTGAGCGCACACACACCTGACGTATGCCTTGCCATTGGCGACGGCTTTGCCAATCGTCGTCCAGTGAGCCACCGCCTCAGGCGTCGACGAGAAGAGTCCTTCCCGTCCGCCGCGAAAAAGGAAAGCATCCGCCGTGTGGAAAAAGCGATTGCCCTTATAGGTATGCACGGACGCATTCGCTCTTGCTATCAGTCCCAGGAGCAGCAGTATGCCGAATGCACAGAATCTGGAAGAGCATGCCATTCTGTGGATCTTGCCTGATCGCTACAGGCGAGAAGCAAGCGTCGGAAGTCGCTTATGCTAGTGAAGATTGCCAAGCATTCGGCAACAAGTCGCGCTTTGCTCTTCAGGAACGCGTTAGACCAGCTATTGTAAGGCAGACGCAGCTAGTAGATTCATGGGGAATCTAGTTGTACGAGATGTGGAGGAGTGCAGGATTATGAAAATAGTCAGCCGAGGCAGAACCAAGAAAAAGTTGCCAGAGTGATCGTAGATCTTGCGACAATAAGGAAAGAGAGTGAAGCGAGCGGGAAGGGAGGTAAAAGCAGGGGGATCAGCCCAATTGGTTGGGAGAGGTCAAGCTCTCTGACAAGTTCGTCACTGAGTTTCTCAACATTGTATAGGATTCACGGATCGATATGTTTGCAGAGTTGCAAAATCCAACTTCCCAAGTGCAACGGCTCTCCATGAACAAACGTGTGGAAATGTGATTGTGGCAAAGCCTCTGATTTTGGAACAGCCGTGTCATTCCCTGTGCTCGGACGTGGTGTGCCATGAGTCGCGCTTACCGACATGTGCGCGAAATTTTGGTTCCGACGGCGACGCGCGGATTGTGGCTGGCGCATTCCCCATCGCAATGCACGCACGGAAATTCCAATCGATCGAACCCACCTCCTCTCTGTCGGCTCCATCATCCTTCAATTCAGAGGCGAAATTACGACTTCCCCTCGCGCCAGTCAACCAGCAAGACGGCCATTGTTCTGTCATCTCATTCATGTTCCACCGACCCAAGTCCACTGCTGCTTTCACGTAGTGGCTAGACGCTGTCGGTACCAGCTTCTATATCAGCAGCTTCTCAAAGTACCAGAAGTGAACTGCCTCATCTGAATTCGGCCGTACATATGTACCTTGAAGATTAAGGAGCACTAAGCCCACAGTGCCGACGAACACCCGGAAGTTTATCACTTCTTTCTGTCACCAACCTAGCTGAGAGCGCACGTGTTAGAAACCGACACACGCCGCTTAATTCGTCCCCACCATGAGAACCACACATATAGCAGTTCTCCTCACCCTAATATGTAAGGCCCGACGAGCCCAACATCACTTCAAGGTCTCACCTTTCACGTTGCGCATTGCACAGAACTCTCGCTTCACATGTTGCGACTGCACTCGCGAAAATTTAGAGGCGCTATCCATGCAGCGTTTACGCACCCGTGCTTACCCGCATCCCTTGCGCTCCTCACCATCCCATTCCCCGTGACTCCACGCAGGCGCGCTCTTGACTCCTCCAGCGCTTGCAGCTGACCTAGTCAGTAAGTGAACCACCTCACTTCCTTTTCGCGTCGCCGCGCCCGCTCTCCGTCGTATCTCCCCGTGCTCGTGCAAGCGGCCGCCAAACTAACTGACGGTGCGGTATGTGTGCGTGCAGGCTCGGTGATATTCAAGCTGGACTCGAGGAACAAGAAGGAGGTGATCTCCAGCGGCAAGGCCAGCCTGCGCGTCTACAAAAAGTGAGCTGCCTCCCCCGCCCTGCCGCGCCCCTTTCGTCTATACTCGTCCTCTTCTCGTCAGTGCTAGTCCTCTCTCCGTGTGCGCGTCTTCTTTCCCGTTACTCATCCACTTAACATCAGTTCGCGCCCACTTTTCAACTAATCATTCAATAGAGCGCCGAGTGCCACGCGGCAAGCCTCAACCCTGTGCGCGAAACGCTGCTTACCGTTTCACCCTCGCGTCCCTCCCTCTAATTCGCGCGTCGCCCAGCGAGGACGGCACGTACACGCAGACGATGTCGATCGATCTCAACGAGGCGTTCACAAAGGGCGCTGCGCCCTACTACCGCCTCTTCCGCGGCAAGCCCGGCACGGCCGGCTCGCAGGCGTTCAGCGGGTACCAGACGGTGGGGTGGCAGCGCAGCAAGTCGCCGTACAACCCGCTGAAGCCGTTCATGAAGGGTCGGCACTCTCTACAGCACACGGCGTCGTACGACGGCATCACCGAGGCGCAGTACGATGCGTACGTGAAGCCGTACATGGAGCAGCCGTCCGGCTACTACCTCGTCATCTACTACCCCGGCCTGCGCCCCGCCATGCAAGGCCGCGGAAGCGTTGGTTGACGTATGTTGGCTGTGTATACAATAAGTGAGACATGGTAGCGTCTCCAGCTACTGTTAGCTACCGGTTATCTTGCATATCACTTTGTATGCTATATTGTTATGTTAAATTGAGCAAACCGGAATGTTGTGCACATGAGTGAGGTGGCATCAAATCAGGGGGTTCCAGAATCTTGCGAATGTAGCACCTTTAGTCACAGCATAGAATGCTGGCACCATTGGACCTGGAATGGCATCTTGCAGAGGGGAGAGAAGTATTCTGGTGTGTAGAGAGAGAGAATGGATGGGATGGGAGGGAAGAAGGGTTTGTGTGTGGGGCAGGCCCTACGATATCAGGAATTTTTCCCTGAAATTCCTGATTTTCAGCCTAGTTTTGTGTACCTACACTGAATTTTCAGTGTTGAGATTTTTGTTACACTGATTTTTTCAGCCTTTACTTCATAGCTAACACTGATGTTTCAGACTTTTATCGAAGTGTACACTGAATGCACATTCCGAATCCTTCCCGTAAAACACCCGAGACAATAAGTCAACCAACATTTCCGCATAATCAATACTTATTTAAAAAATACTGATCACTGACTCGATGAACTGGCTTAGTGGTTAGTGATGTAGATATCGATTGGTAATGTTTTGGGTTCAAATCCCTCTATTACCATGTTTGTAAAGGCTACTCTCTTGCACAATTGCTTGATGTGATTGAAAATTCAGGCTTTTGTTTTCCGAAACCCTGAAAATTCAGGCTTTTTTTTTTAGGAACCCTGAAAATTCAGGCTTTTTTTCACAGGGACCCTGATGCATCAACGTCCCTAAAAGTGAATCTGAGGGCCTGGTGTGGGGTGGAGGAGGCCAGGGTCAAGAAGATGAAGGTGGGGTTGTGGGGAGAGGGGATGAGAAGAGTGTGGGGGGGGGGGTAAGGATAAAGAGGTGAAGTTCTGCTGATCATATAAATCTATCTGGCGGATTAGGACCGCCATACGCCTCCGTTTTATTTGTTTTGACGCCTCAGGTGTCCCCTCCATCCATCCTGCTCTTCGTGCATCATGGCTACTTGGCAACCCCTTCCGTCCCCCATAGATACTACCCTCATCATAGAGCGCTCTCCCACGTCGGTTGGGGGATATCCCCTCGAGGGTAGGGGAATAAGGGCGCGTGTGGTCTGTTTAGAAGTTCAAAATAAAGTTCGAACTTTGGGTGGTTACCCTATTCGCTAATTTCGCGAATGGTGCTTCGCGAACCAAGCATTGTATGGGCTCTGCAAAAGTTCGAGTTTGAAATATGAACTTGACTCGAGTCGGAGGCGCGAACGTGCGTGCTCATGTTCATGCGAGCGTGTGTGATTTGCAGCACGTCCGAACAGCTGGCGAAACGGGCGAGCGCTTCGCCAGTGCATGAAGTTGCACAACGAAGACACCCCACAATTCGTGCACACAGTTGTAGCCACGTGTCCAGCATACAAGGTGTTGCCACGGGGGCTATTTGTACCCTGGTTACACACTCGGGAAAGTATATCCCAGCTCCATAGTTTCAAATATATCTCAAATTTAGTCTTAATTTCACTAAAAAAGTACAGCTTTCTGGAAGTTTGCTCACGCGAGGCCCAGATTATGTTCAAAACTGGTCCTGCGAGGCAAACTTTTCGACACGTGTCCTGTTTCTTATTAGCAATTTCTGACGGGGGCAAAAAACATAAAACCCCTGGGGGAACCAGGACACACGTTCGGGAGGGACCAACCCTAAACACGGGGACCCGCTTGGTGTTTAGGGTTGATCCCTCCCGCAAATGTGCCCTAGGTCCCGAGCAGGGCTAACTTTAGTAAAATGACCCGTCTGATGTCAAGACCGGGTCCTGGCTCCTTGTCTGATTGTCAGGCGAAAACTGTAACCTTGTCTAGCTTTTCAGACGAATCCTAGATATAAAACTAGCAAGCAGTTCTAACTTAGAAATTAAAAATTAATAGTTATGCATAGCCTAGTGGTTTAGTCTGTTGAGTATCGAGCAGTGAGAACTAAGGTTTTCAGATCGGATCTTGCAGTCTACTTTCGAGATTTTTGCCTTCAGTCGAAAAAGACTCGATATTTGCAATCTCAGATGAACTGTATGTCAGAACATTATAGCTCATGCTATTGTGTAGGCTATAGTGGGGTATCCCATAGGGGGTACAACCCAACTAGGGTTTCATATTTGTACTCGCTTCATTCATAGTTCACACCATTCTCTCGTTCTCATTCTAATACTGTATAAGGCTGTCTGAGAAATCAGATGAATAGAAAAAGCTTCTCTAAAAAAATCAGACGAAATTAAACAGCATGTCTACGGTATCAGATGAACCAGTAAAAATGTGTTCAGAATCCAGAAATTCAGACCAAAAATTTCTGATAAAGTGAGCCCTGGTCCCAAGGGGTTTTATTATTTTTTGCCCCGTCGAAATTTTTTCAAAGCGAAATTGGACACGTGTCGAAAACTTCGCCCCGCAGGACCAGTTTTGAACATACTTTGGGCCTCGCGTGAGCGAAATTCTAGAAAGTAGTAATTTTTGAGTCGACCCGCGGCTAAATTTGAGAGAAATCTGAAAGTATGGACCTGGAATATAGTTTCCCTACACACTCGGCGCGGAAGGTGAGTTGGAGCTCTAGGTCCTTGTAAACCGAGGCGCAAAATGTTGACGTGGCGCACCGTCAAGACGAGCGAACCGGGTAACCTATGATGTTGACGTGCGGCTCGGCTCGTTTTTACAAGTTCGAATGTCGGGGTTCGACCTTGTATGTGTGTGTGATTTTTTACAGTGTGGTAAGCCCGATGTTCGAACTTCGATAGAAGGAAATTCCAACTTCTTTCGTTATAAGTTCGAAACTAAAAATCGCCCTAAAAACATAAACTTTTACAGATTTCGAAGACCTCACGCGCCCTAACGTGTTGTGATGTACTCCTTATAGGCTGTTGGTCCTTTGACCATATTCCCTGCTTGCTCTATGCATGTTTGTAACAGGTCACGACCTTAATATAACCTTCATAACCTTCATATTAGGCGGGTGATAAGGGGACCTGCTGTGGTTGGAAGATCACTGCATACTGACCTCAAGCCAACTCAACGGCCTATTTTCGCTTTTGGGGCACTCTTGGGAATCAGGGTGCTTTGATGACGTCACCCTGCCTGTCAGGGTAGTTTTTCTCCCACCCTGTCAAAATCAAGGTAAACTTTTAAGCACCCTGATTTGTAATGGAAATGGGGGAATTGGGGTTGGGAGTGGAGAGGGAATTGTGGGGAGGGGCTGGGAGATGCGAGAGAAACGGAGGGGCGGTAAGCGGGGAGTGGCGAGGGATACGGAAAATGGGGCTCGGCGGCTCGGGGAAGTGAGGGAATGGGGGAGAGTGGGGCTGGGAGTGGCGAGGGTACTCTGACGCGTAAGGGTAAGAATCAGCGCACACTGATTTCGACAGGGTAGAAAAAACTCCACACTTTTGAAGAAAGAGTACAAAATCACCCACCCTTTTAGAATCAGGATAATCATAAAGAAATGGATTTTAGAAAGGGGAATCAGGGTATTTCACCCTTTAAAAATGCCCCTGGTCAGGAACATTAGTTCCTTCCAATAATGTTTTGCCTACTGCACCAAAATCGTAAAACGGTTTGATCCATCTGTCTCTACTCGTTACGGGATCTCTGCCTCGGGTTTCGCTCCGCTTCGCTACGAGCACAAGCTTCGCCATTCGATCTTTTTTGCTTTCCTGTTTTGAACCTACATAAACTAGGCTATCGCCTTGGCTTTTGTGCACTCGAGCTGGGCTCCTCGCTTGACCAGTTCGTCGCAGCAAGCCTGTGAAGCAACTAGCGCACTTTCAGGGCGGCGATGACGCTTCGATCGGTTCAGCGGTCGCAGCGCCGAAGCTCCACCGGCGCGCAGCCAGCGCAACGGACACCCAGCCACAACGAGAAGCGCAGCGGCACGCCAGATGCGGCGCGCGCGGGGGTGAGGTACAAGCGGAGGAAGACCCTCAGCGACGCTCGCGCAACGCGCGGGCGATCCGCCGAAGAGGCCGATGACAGCGAGCGACCGGCTCGACGCGCCTCGCTGCGCGTCGCGGGAGGCGGGAAAGACGGCGCGAAGAAGGCGAAGCGGAAGGAGCGGGAGGAGAAGCCGGTGTCGTTAGTTCTCCCGCCAATTCCCAGCAGCGCCGGCCCGTTGTTCCAAGTCCGCGCCGGCCTCACAGGTCGCGCCTCCCTCCGCCTCTCCCTCTCACCTCTCTTCCCAAGTCCCGCTTCCTAGTAGTATGAGTAGTAGGGGGTGGGATATGAGTCCAGGTGTAGATCCGAGCCGCAGTACCTTCTTTTATTTCGACCACTCCGTCACGCTAACGATCGGATCGAGTCAGCCTTTCATTTGCTGACCAATTTCCACGCATGCTCGCATGACCGCGTGCCCGCATGACCATAAAGCTTCGTCGTTGGATCGCCGTAGCGCCACACAGGCGAACCAACCATCTCGTTTCCGTCTTCCCATCTGATGCTGACGTGGCACCAGACTTCAGAGCGCGCCAGCTGGCGATGGCGGTGGAGGCGGGCGTCACGAGCGAGGTGGTGTGGGCGCTCAACGCGCTGCAGCTGATCAGCTTCTCTCTCAAGGACACGTGGCAGCAGGGGGCTGGCCCGCTCAGCAAGGCGCCACAACTGCTTTCAGCCTTAGTATCAGTGGTACTGGTCTTGCACGCCTCATCACCGCTTTGCACCCCACCTAGCCGATCGTCGTGTCTGCCTACATCCGTTCTCGTCCCTTCGCTTCGTTCACTCACATGTGCTGCTCTCCGCCACCCAATTCTCCACCCCACACCCGCAACCTCCCATTTGCCCCCCCCCACCTTTCTTCTCCGCCGCCCTCTTTCCCGCTTTACCGCCACCCGCCTTGCCACTCCTTTCGAAACTCCTCAGGTGGCGTCGTGGCGCGCCTGCTCGCTCGAAATAACTGACGCTGCCACGTGGCGAGCCATGAGAGGAGGGCCCGAGGGCGGCGGCCCAGCCGACAGTGAACCCCCTGGGAGGGGCGGTGGCGGCAGCAGGAGCAGCGGATCGGGGCGGCTCTCGCGCGTGCTGCATGACCCCCTAGGGGAGCGCATTCGGTAAAGCATGATTAGGATTGTGGGCTGTGGTTTTTGGACCATGCATCATGGGCCGTGGATTGAAGAGTGGTTAGCTAACCCTCTCTGCCCCCAACACCCCCCCCTTCGCAACAACCTCTTTCATCTGTCTCACTCCCCCGCCTCTCGTGCTGCCCTTTTACGCAGCCCCTCCCCTCCCCTGCAGCACTTCTCGCTCCCATCCCTCCAACCCGTTCCCCCCTGCGCACCCCCCTTGTCATGCCCCCCTGCCACCCCCTCAGCACCTACTTCCCGCACTCCGCGGGTCCGCCCCTGCCTGCGCGCCCCATCTCCGCCCTGCACCCGCCATCCGCGGACGACCCTCTTGCCTCCGCTGCTGCTGGCGCTGGCGGTATGAGCGCGTATGGGCGCGGGCACAGGGGAGGCGGGGTAGAGTCGCGCGGGGGGGAAGCAGGTGGGGAGGCGGGCGGAGGGAGGGGGGAGGATGGGGGAGTCGTGGCGGGAGTGGGGGTGGGGGGGAAGGCGGAAGGGGACGAGGTGGGGGACGGGGGTTGCGGGGAGGCGGGGCTGAGTGCAGAGGAGCGGGAGGTGTGGTGGGCGGAGCGGGCACTCTTCAACCACAGCAGCAGCGCCAGCAGCACCGGGGGAGGCAGGGGCGGGGGCAGCAGTGCGGGGGAGCGGGTGCAGTGTGCAGTGGCGGCGAGCAGTGTGCTGCGCAACCTCTCCTTCCTGCCGCACTGCGCCTCCGCCATGGCCACCCTGCCCGCGTGTGTGGCCATGCTCGTGGGCGCCCTGGAGGACTTTCAACGCGGTGAGCTGCCGTGCTGGGGAGAGGGTTCCGCACGTGTGTGGGCATTCGGGTTTCAGGATTGGAGCAGAGAGTTGTGTGCAAGCAGCAGCGGAGGGAGGGGAGGGAGGCCCCTCTTGCGTTGCATTGGTGCTCTCTTTGTCTCCTGCCAGGGTGGAGCAGGCTGAGGAGAGCGGGAGGAGGAGGAGGAAGGAGGGCGGATGCCAGGTCGTCGCTTCTCTCTATCTCCCCTGCCTTTACACTCCTGCCTCCCCTTGTTCCTCCGCTGCTCCCCCCTGCTTCCCCGTGCACCCCCTGCGCCGCTCTGCGCTTCCCTGCACCCCCCTACGCTTCCCTTTCCCCCTGGTCACCGCCGTCACGGGGCAGAGGACGAGGAGGTGGTGAGCAACGCAGTCGACACGTTCGCCAACATCGCAGCCGCCATCGACCTCTCCTCCTACCCCGCCCACCAACCGCCCCTCCCCTCCTCCGCCACCCCCCTCTCCTCTGCGCTGCCAGCGACGTTCTCGTCAGCAGCACCTGCCCTGCCCGCCTCTCTCACTCGCTCCGCAGCGGCGCACCCCGGGGGGGACACGGGCCCGCATGGCATGGCAGTGGGGGCTTCTGGGAGTGGTGCGGATGGTGGCGCTGATGCTGCTGCTGGGGGCGAAGGGTGTCGTGGAGTAATGAGGTGAGTGCAACATTTGCTGTTCTCAGTCTACGGCAACGACTATATTTTCCCCTTCTCCTTTTTCTCGTTGCTTCTCCTCTTGTCTTTTTTCACCACTTCTCGTCTCCTCTTCCCCTCTTTCTTTTTCTCTTCTGCTTGTTTCCTAGTCACTTCTTATTCCCTTCACTTCTCCCTTATTCCTCATCCTTTCAACATCTCATCCCCTCTGTCCCACTCATCCCACCAATGTAGTGTGGAGAGGGTGCTGGGGGCGCTGGCGGTGCTGCTGCAGGGCCCCGTGGTGGCGTGGCAGGCGGCAGCAGCGGAGGCGTGGGGGCGCCTGCTGCTGTGCCGCGATAACGACCTGCTGCTGCTCCCCGCCGCCGGGCCCCTGCAGGTGTGCTTGATAGTAGTATGGTGGGGAGTGGTGGGGGGGAATGGACTGTGGTGGAGGGTATGGGGTGTGTGATTGAGGCGTGGGGTGTGGTGTGGTGGAGGCGTGGGCGCACCTGCTGCTGTGCCGCGACAATGACCTCTTGCTGCTGCCCGCCGCTGGCTCCCTGCAGGTGTGCTGGGGTTTGTGGGGTGTGCTGTGGGGTATGGGGTGTGGGGGGGGGGTATGGGGTGTGCGGTGGGGTATGGGGTGTGTGGTGGTGTGGGGATGGGGTGTGTGGTGGGGGGATGGGGTGTGTGGTGGTGGGGGTATGGGGTGTGTGGTGGTGCGGGGATGGGGTGTGTGGTGCAGGGATGGGGTGTGTGGTGGAGGGATGGGGTGTGTGGTGAGGGGAAGGGGTTTGGCTGAGACCTTCTTTCTTTTTTCAACATGTGGAATGACACCCCGCCCTTCCAGACTCCTTTCACACGCCCAAACCAACACACACCGCATTCCTCCTCCCTGCCCTCCCAACAAACATATCCTCTTCCTTTCCCACCCTCCATCTTCCTTGCGCCCCTCCTCACACACACACACACACACACACACACACACACACACACACACACACACACACACACACACACACACACACACACACACACACACTCACTGCACCTGATCACGTCGTCTTGCTCACAGGTGTACCGGCAGGTGGCGCTGCTGCTGGCCTCTGCTGACCCCCACGTGCAGGCCACTGCGCTCTCCTGCGTCGCCCTCGCCGCACACGCCTCCCCCGCTGCCAAGTACAGCCTCGCCCGCGAGCCACAGTGAGTGCTGCTATGTGTGCAGGCCCGAGCGCTGCTGTGTGCTGCCCTCTGCTGCCCTGTGCTGCGGTGTGCTGCGGTGTGCTGCCGTGTGCTGCCGTGTGCTGCCTGTACAGCTCCAGTGAGTGTCGCAGAGTGCAATCTTCCTCCCGATCTTTCAACCCTCGCACCTGTCTCAGATCCTCCCCTTCACCCCCTTTCCTCCCCCCCCACCCCCCTTCCTTCCCCCCCCACCCCCCTTCCTTCCTCCCAACCCCCCTTTCTCCCCCCCCACCCCCGTTTCCCTCCCCCCCACCTCCCTTCCTCCCCCCCCCACCCCCCTTTCTCCTCCCACAGTCTTCTCCCGCGCCTGCTTGCGCTGGTAACCGCACCGCACCCATTACAGCGAGTGGTGCGGCGGGCAGCAGCAATGCTACTGTGTCTGGCAAGGGAGCCGCGCACACACGCCGCCTTCCAACCCCTCCTCTCCTCCCTCACCCGCGCTGCCTTCGCCTCCGCCCCTCCTGCCCCTCATGCTGCTGCTGGTGCTGCTGGTGCTGGTCCTGCTGCTGGTGCCGCGGTGGGTGATGCTGCTGCTGCAAGTGGTGGTGGCAAGGAGAAGGGCGGTGGGGAAGCGGAGGTGAGTGCGGCGCTGGCAGAGGTGGTGTGGCGCGTGTCGTGTGAGCCGGGGGCAGATGACTGGCGCTTGCCTCAAGGGGAGAATGTGTGGGGCGCACGAGAGTGTGACATGTGATGCTCATGCTCTTGCTCTTCCCCCACGCCCAAGCTCATGCTCACGCTCTTGCATTCCCATGGTGATTGTAGTGGTACCAGCGTGGTTGTGATCGGGACTGTGATGGGTTGGGAACTAGGGAGTGATGGTTGTGACATAAGGGCATGGAAGTGGTGGGGGTGCAGTGAGCAATGAGTGCAAGTGTGGTTGCCCATGGTAGGGATCTATTTTCACATGCCCTCCTGCTGCCTCACGAATTGGGGGTTCTTTAGAATCTTGTACATTCGAGTATACATTAGTATATTGGTACATAGCATTCATAAATACAGCAATACATCATGTATAGGATACTAATCACATGCAGACACTGTATCGGACTAGGCAAACCATATACTATGTGGCATGCGAGGGGCAGGCCAGGGTGCTGAGGTGGCATGGTGCTGAGTTGTCAGGGTGCTGAGTTGTCGGGGAGCTGAGTTGTCCGGGTGCTGAGTTGGCAGGGTGCTGAGTTGGCAGGGTGCTGAGTTGGCAGGGTGTTACGACATGCTCACCTGACCGCGCACTCTTTTGTCCTCACCTCACCTTACCTCCCTACTGCTTCCACCACATACCCCCCACCACCTCCACCACTAGCACCACCAGCACCGGCAGCAGCAGCAGCACTGGCGGTGGGGGGCGCAGTGCAGGCAGCAGCAGGGGTGAGGGCAGGTGGGGAGGGCAGCCCCAGGTAGCGCGCCATGCTGTCGATGAACGCCGCCCTCTGCTGCCCCTCGCCCATCGCCCCCCCCTGCTTCCCCGCCCACACCCGCCTCCGCGCCCCCCGTCTCCCTCCCGCTGCTGCTGCGCTGCCGTGCGGGCGGGAGAGAGGAGTGGCGGGCGCAGCAGGGGAGCGCACGTGGGTGGTGGAGGGGGGGGCAGTGGGAGTGGCCGCCTGCCATCCATTTATAGTCGCCTGTCGTGACGCCGCCATGTGGGGTCGCTGTGAGGGCCAAAGCCGCTGGTGCTGGGGCGATGCAGGTGGCATGAGCAGGGCTGTGGCAGTGGCCGCCAGGGCCGGGGGCGGGGCAGGGGAGCACACGGGCAGCGGCAGGGCGCTGGAGCTGACGGACTTGAGGAGGGAGGGCGGGGAGGGCAGGGCGGGCAGCGCGTGTGAGTGCGAGTAGGAGCGTTGCGGTGCGCGCCGAAGGCCAGGCGCGGACGCGGGGCGAGTGGCGTGTGGCGGGCGAGGGAGCGAGGCGGGGGAGGAGGAGGGGCGTGAGGAGGCGGCGATGGGCAGGCAGGCGGAGGGGTTGGCAGAGAGCATTGCAGGAGGCAGGCAGGGTGGGCAGCAGAAGGGCGAGTTGGTGACGTCTTGGAGGGGAGCAGCAGCCAGCGGGGTGAAGGGAGATGGCAGCCCACGGGAGGAGCAGCATGCAGGGGCGCAGGGGAGGGCGCGATGAAACAGGGGGAGTGGCAGCATGCAATGGGGATCGGTGATGAGACCGTGAGGTTCGGTGATGAGACCGTGAGGTTCGGTGATGAGACCGTGAGGTTTGGTGGTGAGACAGTGAGGTTCAGTGATGAGACCGTGAGGATCGGTGACGACTTGAGGGTTGGTGACGACTTGAGGAACGGTGACGACTTGAGGATCGGTGACGACTTGAGGATCGGTGACGACTTGAGGATTGGTGACGACTTGAGGATCGGTGACGACTTGAGGATCGGTGAGAGCTCGAGGGTCGGTGACGACGTGAGGGTCGGTTACGACACTGTGAGGGCCGGTGACGAGGCTGGGAGGTTTGGTGACGAGGCTGTGGACATGGGCGGGGATAGAGGATGGGCGGGTGAGGAAGGAGCCTGGTGACGAGGAGGGGTGGAAGGAGAGAGGGAGCGGGGGTGATTCGGAGGCGAGGGAGTGTGTGGTGAGGGCAGTGGAGGGGGGTGCATCTGTGGCATCCCACGAGAGGCTGAACGGATCTGTCAAGGCTGATGCTGCGTCGCCCGCACTCCACTCTAACTCGCCCGCACTCCACTCTAACTCGCCCGCACCCACCACTGGTGGGCTGTCTTGAAGGGCAGCAGCGTCAGTGGCAGGGCCAACGGCATCGTTTTCGTTGTCATCATTGAGTAGCGCTGCTGCCAGCTCCCATCCCACCCACGCTGCCACGTGCACTGGTGGTGCTGCCGCTGCAGCAGCCGCCAAAGCAGGAGGCGGAGGAGAAGGGGGTGGAGGGAGAAGGGGAGGAGGTGGGGGAGAGTGGGGAGTGGCAGCTAAGGAAGAGGAGCCCCACGCCTCAGCTGTGGCTGCACGGCTGGCCGCACCGCTGCTGCTGATGGTGGTGCTCACGCCCACGCCTTGTGTCTCTAGAAACCGCCTGATCAGAGGACGGAGAGGGAGGGGGACAAGAATGGGGAGAAGAGCAGACAGGGGAGAGCGAGCGGTTAGAGATCGTCTCAAATGGGTTGAGGGAAACACAGAGATTGTGACTGGATCGGACCGTCTCTTTCCCTCACAGGGTGCAGAACACAAAGATGTCCAGCCTGGCATGGAGAATGCCTCTCATGGCTTCCACGGGCATGGGACCCACGGAATGAGTCACTGCCCCATCACTCGTGCTGCTCGAGTCACCTTTTAAGGAGGATGAAGCGGTTGCAGCACGCCTTGTTGTCCCGGTGTGGCGGCAGCAGCCCCGAGGCGCGCAGCTTGCTCCAGTTGCGTGTGCCGTGCACGCACACGTGCTGCAGCAGCACCTCGTCCTCCTGCTCCACGTGCCACGCGCCACGTGCGAGCCATCCAGCCATGTGGGTTGGGAACACCCAGGAAAGGAAAGAGAGTGGGTTACGAGAGGGTGGGAGGAATGAAAGTGGAGTGAGAGAGAATATGGGAAGAGGTAGGGAAATGATGGGACGGTTGGGCGAGGGGTGACGGACACGTCACGTGGAGGTACGTGTAGTAACGTCACGTGACAGCGTGGAGTGTACCTCAGGGGTCCACCAGCGGTTGCTGTGCGTCATACGCATCCCCTTAGGAGCTTTCGGAGGCACTGCCCATGGCGCTGCATTCGCGCCCCTCTTCGCCCCTTCCGCTTCCCACGGTGCTCCTTCCGCATCGCGCGGCGCCCCCGGTGCGCTCAGCCAAGCGTGAATCGCATCGCCGGGAACGCCGATCTCCTTGCCGCTTTGGTTCGGCGCCGAGCCGCACAGGAGGTTCGGCCTCTTCGCGTAAAGGTCACATTCGACGGCCAGCTCTCTCCCGTCGTCGCGATGTCGCAATCGCTTGCGCGACGCCGCTAGTACTGGCGGGCTCGGCGACATCAACAGGCTCATTGTGATTCCTTGCACGTACACACGATGAGGGGTGACGCGAGAACCACGTACACACGATGAGGGGTGACGCGAGAACCACCGTCTTTGGAAAACATCAAATATTGCTCGAGGAATCCGCACTGTGCATTTGTGGTGGTGCGTGCGGCTGCTGCGCTTGCTCACTCCGTTCCTTGGTCTGCTTGTTCAAAAGGTCTCGCAAATGCCCTTTGCGTGCTGTGGACTTGAGGCACACGCGCGAGCAGTCAGCTCCAGCTGGGGTGCTGAGGACCATCAATTTCTGAGCGTGGGATGAGGGCAAGGAACTTGACGGATTTTGGAGGACGGAATTTTGTGGTGCATGTGAAAATGCGCGGCACACACGGGTCAGGCGTGGAAATCGGCGCTTCGAAAGGTGAATTCCTTCGCGAAGTGACGGTGGACATCTCACACACGCGCCCTTTGCCAGCGCGGATGGAGATCAGTGTGACGTGGTCATTGGATTGAGGGTAAGAATGGGTCCACTTGGCAAATATCCACTTGTAAACAGTGCGAGTGACAAGTTCAAAAAGCTTGCTCCCCTGACCTGGTGAAAGTTTTGGGTGACTAAACTTCCTATTTTCATCTCAAGTCTTGCAGCAATTTTATGAATGCAGTGTGTGCTCTACAAACTGGGCAGCTCTCGTGATTGCCAAATACCGTGGGACAAGCACTCGATGCGTATTGGTTTTACCCGTGTGGGCAGTGTCGACCAATCGGCATCGGCAGATGACAATAAGACGCACCCATTGGTCATCACAGTGTTGCTCCTCCAACCATTGTTCGCACCTCCAGGACGGAACAAACGAATATCCGCAACTGTACCGCCCGTCAAGCAATCCAGCCAGGAAGACACGTTTCGATTGGATTGATCGAGAAAGTGGTCTGAAGGACCACGCACACACGATATTCATTACACTCTCGCCACCATTTACGATACAGGTATACTGAAGTGAGTGTCTATCTACGTAGAACAATCAGCAACATTGGAATAAACACGTTGATATTGGAAAACCTTGAAACAGCTTTCCACAATGCACAATCGTTCACGGACGCGAGGCTGACCACACCACTAGCCAGGCTGACATAATGTCCTGATGCAGGCTGAGTGTTCCTGGAGCATCCTTTCATTCGAGTATCAGTCAATTTATTCTTAAGCCGATGCCATCTTGCACGAGAAGAATGCCAGCGTTGTGAAAGCCATCAACGCCTTCTTTATGAGTGGGTATCAGCAGCTATGCATGCGTTAGTGCACATGCGCACCACACGGGGGTGCACCACCAAGAGTGCAAGGTAAACAATTTGGAGAATAATCCGGATCAGAACACGCTACATATAGTCCAAGCATCCCAACATGTACAACCATGAATGTCTAACCATACTATAGGTAAACAGAGCCTTCTAAGCAAATCATTTCACATCCTAACGCCATTCCACCCCTCAGTTCTTGCCGTATCCTTCCTTGTGCCGCATTATGATACGACCTCGCATTCCCCATGCACCTCGCCACCCGCTTGCCTCTCCTACCCGACCACAATCACGCCCTTTCGTGTTGCCCTCCTGCCCCCGCCACCTGTGCTCGTCCCCCATCACCTGCTCTCACACTCAATCCCAAACAGGCTGCTCAGACCCCCTGACCCCCCGCCATGAGCCCCACCTGCTCCAGAATCCACCTGTCCAGATCCGCCTCCCGCTGCCCCTCCGGTGCGCCCGCCCCCACACTCGTGACTGCATCAGCACCCGCAAGAGGAGATGGGATGGAAGCAGACGTGGCAGGAGCGGCAGGAGCAGCAGGAGGGCCATGAAGGGGGGCCGAAGGAGATGGAGCAGCGGTGTTATCGCAGTGGCGTGGGGAAGGAGCAGTGGTTGCAGGGAGCTCAGAGCCAGGCGAAAGGGGCAAGGGAGGGAGAGGGGGCAGAGGCGAGAGGGGAGGGAGGGGAGGCAGGGGATCCAGTAGCATAGAGAACGGAGAGGACGGAGACAAGGCACTCGGGACGTGGAGCTGGGCGGCACACAGCCGGCCTGTGTGGGCGGCAGGCTGAGCGGCAGTGGCGTCACTCGTGGTAGGGATGGGAGGGGGTGAGGCAAGAGACGAAGTGGGAGAAGCCGTGTGATTCAAGGCGGAGGGCACTGTAGCTGAGGAACTGGCGAAGGGGGTAGTAGACACATCGCCCCAGGAGGACAGGGGAGGGGAGGAACTGGTGCTTGCGTTCACACTCTGATCGCTGCACCGTCCAAATTGCATGGAGCTATGCTGTTGCTGTGTCTGCTGCTGCTGCCGGTGCTGCGGCAGCGGTTGGTGCAGCAGCTGCAGCTGCAGCATCATCGCACGACACTGTTCGCGGTCTGGCTGTGCACCGCAATCAGCCACTGCAGTCTTGACACGTTTCCTCTCACTCACACAGTCGAATCCCACCACATCAGAGCGCACACTTGGGCCCATCAGAGCGTTCTCAAGCCAGGGGTCCATCATGCCATGCCACGCTGCATTAGCCTCCTGCCTCTCGCACCCCTGCCAGTCGTCCGCCATCACTGTGCGGCGCGCGACCGACTGCTCAAGCAGGCGCGGATGGGCCTGCTGCTGCCGCGGTGCTGTCGCATGCAGCAAGTCGCTCTGCCATGCCATGTCAGTCACAGGAATCGCATCAGGCGTGTCAAACGTTTTCACGAATGCATTAACGGACGCCCCCAGGCGGACCCCTGCTGGTACGGTCCCCACGAGGTGCCACGGTGAGGAGTGCAGTGCGGTGTCACGCGGTTGCAGGCCGCAGGGGAGACCGCTGGGGTGCGGAGGGTGGTGGGGGCGGCGGAAGGAGGGAAATTCCGGCTGTGGCTCGTGCTGCTGCTCGTGCAGCAGGAACTTCCTGCGAGGCGCAGGGGGGGTGGGGGGTGGGGGGGGCGGGGAGGGGGAGGGGGAAGTTGTGGCGCGCGTGAGGGGGGAAAGGTGAGGCGCAAGGCATGGAAGAGGGGTGGCGGCGAGGGGGAGCAGCAGCAGGAAGCGGCTGTAGCGTACCTCTTGAGCAGCAGGAAGCGGCTGTAGCATGCCATTTAAGGAGTAGGGAGCATCATTGGTATACCTCTTAAGCAGCAGGAAGCGGCAGTGGCAAACCTCTTAAGCAGCAGGAAGCGGTTGCAGCACGCCTTGTTGTCGCGCAGCGGCAGCCGGCCGCTCGCCCTGAGCTGCCCCCACTCCGCCGTGCCGTGCGCCATCACGTGCTCCAACAGAATCGCGTCCTCCTGCGCGCACAGGGTGGGGGGGAGGAGGGGAGGGGGAAGAGTTGAGACGAGGGGGGAAAAGGAAGCATCACGTGCTCCAATAGCACCGCGTCCTCCTGGCCACGCGCAAGGAGGGGGGAGCGGGAGGGGGAAGAATTGAGTTCGAGTCTAGGGGAAGACAAAGGGGAGGCGCCATCACGTGCTCCAATAGCACCGCGTCCTCCTGCGCGCACAGGGCGGAAGCGGGGGAATAGAAAGATGAAGAATTGAGACAAGGGGGAAAGGGACGAGGTGATGGGGGAGAGAAAGGTGAAAGCACGATGGCAATAACTGAAAATCGTGGCGTATTCCGGTGGGGATGGGACGAGTGCTCACCTCAGGCGTCCATCGCGCCATGTACTGCCGCGCCCGCCCCGCATTCGCCGTTCTCCTGCAAGCGACCCGTCGCATCGGCGGGCTCGCGGCAACAAATTCTTGGAGTCGCGGCGGACGAGCGTCATCGCTGTCGGTGGTGTAACAGCTCGCTGCGATCGCATCCATCGCAGTGACATTCCGTCTCTCCCCATGCGACATTGGCATCATTTCGCCACTCTTCGTCACACCGAGCGTCGCAGATGGGCAATTCATGTAGGCAGCTTCAGAATGTGAGACAGGGTTACGATAATGCTCGTGCTCGTACTTCCTACTGTGCTGGATCTAGGCAGATGAGCACCATGAGTGCACGTAGGCTCGTCGCCTTCGCACTGCGGAGGGAGTGTCTCGTCGCACGCGCTTTGAGCGAGCAGAAAAGCTGGCGGCTTCTCGACAAAGGAATCTGAACTCGCGATTTGGACGACGGACGGCGGAGAGAGCCGAGATTTGAGTACGTGAGGGGGTGCGGGGGCTTGGAGTGGACGAAAGGCGAGACGAGGAGAAAGCGCGCCGAAACGACGTAGATGCAGCGCAAGGAGACGCGCAAGTCAGTTCCAACCCCATGACGTGTTTGTCTGAACGCGTCGCTACTCTTTCTGTCGGACGCATGACGGATTGTCGTATTTCTGCCCGAGATACACTACACTGTGCTGTCGCGAGGTGGTCCTGACCTACTGCTAGAACATCGCCTCGCCAGCTAATGCAGGTCGAGGTGGGAGCGGGGAAGGGGCTGGTCGGTCGCCGGAACTCTCTCATTCGCCGTAAAGCTCAACTTGCGCGGTGGCCTGAGGATGCAGGAACTGGGACGGGGCTTGTTCAAGAATCTTGGGTTAAAATTTAGTAAATCTCGGTAACGAGAGCAGAGACGGAAAGAGTTACAGGAAGGAAGGTGAGAGGGCAGAAAGCGAGCTAGCCAAGTCCGCCATGTGACTTATGACTCGCGATGCGTCACTCGAGCCTGCCCATTGAGCGGCACGGCAGCATTTCGCTCTGTTGACTTCTGTTCACTCTGCTGCAAGCGAAATCAGGGAAACCCGAAGGGCGGAAGTTGAGTCACGTGAGTTGTCGTGGCGCAAATTCTGGATGCCGTGCATCCCGCTTCACCGCCGTCAGCCCCAATGTCTGGCCCAAGGCCGATTAGGAGAACCACGAGCGGGCCATGTGATGTGACTGCAAGGCAGATGTGCCACGATTAGGTGACGTGGATCTCCCATAGCCACGGAGAAGTTTGCCTTGGAAGCAATATGTTTGGATTGGTCTGAAATAAAAGGCAAGGTTCGAGAAGGTTTGAGGGCAAGATGTCCCATTTCTCAGAAAACATCCGTCAACAACAGCCACAAGCTACTTGTGGTCGTAGTGAGGTCGAAACTACGCATTTGTAATGTGCTTGTATAGTACCATAAGCACCCGGAGAAGGATTTGAACTACTGGTACATATATATTTGGTGGAACTATTGACACTAATGAGCCCATCCAGCATTTAATTGGGTGTCAATTCTGTTGGAAACAAGCAACTTAAGTGCCTCTGTCGTGTTGAAACACTAAGTCGTAAAACGAGGCGAAACATATCGAAGCATCAGCGAGTCAACCCTCGGAGGTTGAGCAACTGCTGGAGGTTACGCGAAAGTCAAATGTCAGCGACCTTTGACCTGACAAGTACAGCACGACAGCAAGGACACACAACTGACTCGTTACAGAGCATTTGCCCGAGTCGTCACTGTATCGAACCGCAATAGCAACAGCAAAATATTTATAGATTAATCTTTCCATATTCCCTGTACTCATATAAAACCTTCTATCTCTTTGCTTTAATCAATCTACTTTGCCCTCACACACCAGCGCAAGGTGGTTCACAAACCTTTTATTAAACGCTTCCGCTGTTACATCAGTCCTACCAGGAGTTTAGTCCTGCAAAGATCCTAAGGGCTTGCTCAGCCCAACATGGTATGAGAGCTGTCAGGACAGATTCCACTGTCAAGACACCTACAACACCAGAAAGCATGGCTACTCAGAAGGAAAGGAGTTCCTCTAATGGTTCTCCCGGCACTACCCCTACTCCACCTCCTGCCTCTGGCCAACAGACAGAGCAGGGTACGGCGACAAGACCAGCAGAAGGGTCCACTGAAACTCCTGCGAATCAACCAGCAGGCTTCGACCAGAACATGATGAAGAAGTTCTTCTCCTTCATGTCCTTCTACGAGCAACACTAGCAGCGGCACCTGCGCAGTCAAACAACAGCAACAACAACAACGACGTGACGCCCATGAGTCTCGGCGGCTCATCCTACGCACGCGGAAATCAACAGCAGCAGCCTACCTTTGCTCCGTACGAGCCCCAGCGCGGCTCCGTCAGCTTCATACCACACCCGCAGCCTGCACCTCGACAAGAGAAGACACTGGACGCACTTCAAGTTCAGTCGCAGTTCGCGCACGTTTTAAAACTGCAAACGTCAAGGCCTTTCGACAGGAAGGACTTCTTTACCTGGTCGTTCGAGTTCGAACGAATGATGAAAGGCGCGCAGATTCTTGGCTTCTTCGACGGGTCCCTGCCATATCCAACACACGGCACACAGTACGACAAGCAGCAGTACACGTACCAGTCAATGATGGCGTACACAATCCTACTGAGGAACATCACTCCGAATCAGCAGCAGAATATACGGTCTTATCGGGGATACGACAACTCTGCAGAGCTCGCGTACAACCATCTGAAGAACCTGTATCAAGCAACAGACAGCGTCAATCAAAGTCGGTTAATGGCGCAACTGACTGTTGAAATGAACGAACAGGAATGATTGAACTAACAGTGAAATCAGTACAAGTACCTAACCCTAGAATTGTGTACCCCCTATAGGCTAACCCACTGTAGCCTAAACAAGCACAACATATATAATGTTTGACACACCCCCATAGGCGAAGTGGGGGAGAACTAGGGGTCACAAGACCAGTCAAGTAAAGCAAAGCTAAGCAAGCTCAGGGTGGATCACAAAGTCACCACACATTCCGAGCACAAGTTCAAGGCCACAAGGCCAGTTCACATGCAGGAGTACATATATATATAAGGCTAGACAAACAAGAGCAAGTATATATATATGTAACAGTACAAGCAATGTCAAGAGGTGAGCAAGTGAGGCAAGACAGGTACAAGACCCAGCTGGGTGCAGAAGCGCTGATGATCACAAGGCGCAAGTGCCTTGGTGAAGACATCAACAGTGTTGGCCTCAGAGGCCACGTACCCAAGCCGCAACTGACCACGCTGCTGTAGCTCACGAGCAAGGAAGTAGCGGAGAGCAATGTGCTTTGTTCTGTGCTCCAGTCTCGGCTCTCGACACAAGGCCACCATGGCCTTGTTGTCTACGTACTGGACTGGAGGAGAACGAGGCGGCTCTCCAAGGTCGGTCAGCAGGTAGGTGAGCCACCGAAGCTCCTGAGCAGCCATGGCCCCTGCGTAGATCTCAGCCTCACAACTGGAGCCGAGAACAGAAGACGAGCGAGTAGCCCGCCACGAAACAGAGCCGGAACCAAGGCTGAAGGTGTAACCCTGTGACGACCGCTGCGTAGCCTGGTCGTCAGCCCAAGAAGCGTCTGCGTGACCAGTGAGGACCACTGGACTCCGCCCTCTAAGCACTAGCCCCATGCCCGACGTACTGCACAAGTAGCGCAACACCCTCTTCGCTGCAGCCATGTGCTCTGGTCGGTGTCTCCCAGGAGCAACATAGCGTGCGAGAATGCTAAGAGGGTATGCAAGGTCAGGTCGTGTGCAGGTCATCAGGTACATGAGGCAGCCAACAAGCTCTGGGTACGGGCCACTCGACTCTACGGACTCATCCGAAGGCAGAGCTGAGAGCGAGTGGCGAGTAGACAGAGGAGTGGCCTGAGGCGAGGAGTACGTGAAGCCGAAGCGCTGAAGGACCTGCTGCACCATGTGTGACTGAGTTAGGGTGATGGTGCGACGTGCTCTGTCCCGGGTGATCTTCAAGCCAAGTTAGCTGCGCAGTTCACCCAGGTCTGTGCACGTGTGTCTCTTCTGCAGCTCCGACTTCACGTAGGCGAGTCCAGCAGTGTCACCTGTGGCAAAGACCAAGTCGTCGACGTACACGAGGATGTAGAACGACGGCAGAGAAGTGTCGGTGCGTAGAAACAGCGATGGGTCGGCAGTAGAGGGAGCAAACCCAAGAGCCGCAAGCGTAGTCCTCAGTGTGTCGTGCCACTCACGCGGTGCCTGGCGGAGTCCGTAGACTGGCCGCCGGAGGCTCCACTGGGTGCCAGGAGGAAAAGTCCCAGTGAAGCCAAGTGGGCGGCGCAGCCAGATCTCCTCGTGCAGGCTGCCCCGCAGGAAGGCAGTGCTGAAGTCAAGAGAGTGTAGCTCGTAGTCACGGTGAGCAGCTACGTGCAGTAGTACCCGAAGAGTGGTCATCTTCGGGGTGGGAGAGAAGGTCTGAAAGTAGTCAACTCCCTGCCGCTGATTGAAGCCACGAGCCACGTAACGCGCCTTGAATACAGGCGGAGAACCCGGCGCCCGCTTCACCCTGAAAATCCACATGCCACTGACGATGTTCGCCCCAGGAGGGGGGACAGCGTCAACGTAGGTGCCTGTGGACTTCCAGGAAGCCATCTCTACATCCATAGATGCCTGCCACTGAGAAGAGTAGGGACCCTCTATCGCCTCCGCGTAAGAGCGCGGAGTCGGGATGTCAAGTGCATCCGGGTCTCCCTCAGGGGTAAGCAGTACGGACACGAGATGAGGTGACGCAGGGGCCAAGCACTGGAACTCCTCCTGCCTGTCCTCAAGGACGTCCGTGCCAAGGGCACACTCACCCCTGACGGACGGAGGACAGACAGACTCAGACTCAGCGACCAGACTAGCAGCGTAGTCTAGACGACAGCGAGCAGCAAAGTCGACGAGCTCAGCAACTAGGGCAGACGCAGCAGTGGACTCAAAAGAAGGGTCAGTGACGATAGTAGCAAGGAGACGCGTGACAGTAGGACTGTCAGCACGAAGAGAGTCCAACTCCGGGTCGGGAAGAGCAGGAAGAGAGGACTCAGGAGGAGAAGGCAAAGGGGCACGCAGAGGAGCAGTGGACGGACGCAGAGACATCCGGTGCGTGCCAGGGACAGGAGGAGGACGCTGACGCGAACCGCAACCACTAGTGCGAGCAGTACAAACAGGCG